AACATAAAATATGTACATGGCTGAGAGTAAAAGTGATTAAGTTCATATATTTCTTTCCTAGAGCTTTCCTCTTTAAAAATAATGCTAACCTGTAAATGTGCTAAGAAGACATTTCTACCTCTTCTTCTAAAGTCAGAGAAGTGCATTATCTTCATGTGTTTAGGAAGCAGTTATGTCCTTTGGGTACAACTGAATCAAGTCAAAGTGAATTGCCAAGAGTGTTCTGGGTAAAACGGCCATTAGGTGAATATTGAATGATATTGCTAGAAATTTTGTTTGAAGTTCTTAAGAGTAATTGGTATTATTTGATTTCAAAAAAGAGAGTCACATATTTTAGTGCAACATTTGTTAGGAGGGGGTTCATAGTTGACAGTACCAATAAGCTCCCAGGGCTGCGCTGGGATCCTAACGGTCTGATTGCACAGGATGTGAAGCTCCAGCGGCCTCTCTCTGGTGTCTCTGCTACCGCCTCACCCCATCCAGTCAGAGCTCAGCTTCACCATAGTCCTATGGCATAAAACAGTGTAGAAATTGTTACTTGGGCTTGCAGTCTGTTTGTTAGAGAAGAAAAAATTTAAAGCAGTAATTTTAAAAGGACTCTTTCATCCAGTTGGTAATTGCGACGCTGTTAGTTCCAAGTTTAATGCCTCTCCTCCCACATCCATCTTCTGTCTCTCTTGCTATCTCTCTCTCATCTCTCTCTGTTTCTCTCTCATCTGTCTCTTCTCTCTTTCCCTCTACTCCTCTGTAATGGCTTTTAGTTATATCAGTACTTATAAAATGTGTTTATGTTGCTTTTGTAGTCCAGTGTAGAGAACTGATAGGAGGTCAGAACTGAAATCAGTACAAGTTTCCTTCCACTACCTCTTGCCTTACTCTAGGACCTTTCAAACGAGTCATCAGAACACAGCTGTGGTGTCTGTGGCTTGGTTCTTTGCTCTTGGAGAGGAGTAGCGCCCTAGCCCACTCTAGTGGGTAGAATCGCCGTGGACATAGGCTGCAAGAGGGCCAAGGCTAACACTTACCTTACATGGACGAGGTCAGTTGACAGCTCAGTCTCCGTCTCAGAACCCACCCCATGGTGCTGCAGAACCTGTGGCCATTTATCCAGACATAGACCTTGTATGTGCATTGTCAGTATCCAGCCCTGCTTTTTTTAACAAAAATCTTGTCTTTAGAAGTGCACTGGTGTGCTGAATAATGAATGCTTCCTTCTGCCTCTCTTTAGTATTTTAGTATATTATTTGATTCTTTTAATTGGGCAAGAATTTTTATTCAGTACATTTTTATTCTAATAAAACTTATAGGATACAAACAAACTCACATATTGGAGGTAAATCTTGAAATTATTAAAAGTACTGTATTTACTGTAGTTCTTTATATCGTTCTGAAGAATGTTAGTTGCTCCTTACCTGATTCTTGCTAGCCTGGGCTTGTGTGGAACTGTGCTACTCTGGAGGCTGAGGAGGAGCTGAGCTCTGCTTGAGAGCTCCTGAGTTCCCAGTCATCAGTAAGTGAACAAAACCCAGCTGGGCGTGGGGGTGTACGCCTATACTCCTAGCATGCAGGAGGCTGAGGCAGGAGGCTTGCACTGGTTCAAGACCAGCCTGGACTACATAGTGAGCTCAAGGCCAGCCTGATCTACATGTAAGACAGTGACAGTAGACACCTAGGTCGCAGAAGGATAAAATGAGTTGATATGTATAAAATGCTTGCCTGAAGCCTAATGTGTTCAGTAGATGCTAGCTACTGAAGAGGTTATTAATAACTTCATATTGCATGAAGAATGGAAACCTGTGCACACTGGATGAACAGACTCTTCAGGCCCCTTGTATTTATACATGTGTTTTCCCTAGCTGGGGAGGGGGAAGCCCAGGACCTCACACAGGTGAGAAAAGCATGGTCCCACTGTGCGCCACTCCCAAGCCACTCTAATGAACTGATGTAGCAAACAAGTTTTATTCCATTGAAACTCAAGATCTGTTTTCCATGTGTACCTGTTAGCCATTGGGCTGATTCTTGTGAATGCAGGAGGTGCTTACTGAGTTTGTGCCATGGAGTACATTAGGCACTGTGCCCATTATGTGGTGGTTTCCCTCCAGAAGCTCACTTGACACACTTAATGTGAGGTGGTAGGAGAGACGGCATCTCAGCAGTGGCTGCGTGTACCTAGATGGGATGTGGGAATTGGTTCATTTGAAAGCTGGGCGCCTTATGCTTTGTACCAAATTGCACAACAAGCATGTGTCTTTTTTGTTCTTGCACAGGTTTCTGCATGTTTGTACTGAGCTTGGTGAAGAAACATTACCGTCTGCAGTTTTATATGGTGTGTATTAGCCATTATTGTGTGGTCCTTCTGTGTCATAAACCCTGCTTCCCTCTCTCCTTTTCTTCCTGTATGGAGGAGATGGAACCTAGTCTGCTAGTGGAAGTCTCATGTTAGTGTGAAAGAAGGATATTTCAATTTTAGATGCCCACTGAACACAGAAAATTGAAGTGGAGATGTCTTTCAGGCCTTAAAAAAAATTTAACCATTCCCAAAACTTTGCTAAAATTTTTCCAATGACTACAAATAGTTTTTTAAAAAACTATTTGAATTCCCTACATTGTAGAACTTTGAAGCATTTTCATAGTCTCTACAATGATTACAATACCTGAGAAGAATCTACATGCTGCTATTCTATAGAACTTTACTGGTTCCCTTGCTACAAGCATGTGCTTCCAGGGGGCAGAGTGTGGACTTTCTCGGTAATTAAGGTTAGTCACAGAATTGCATAATTCTTTTTGGCATGAGGTGTCTGGCTGAGCCAGTCAAAGTCTATGTTTGATGGAATTTATTACCTTGCTAAACTTTTTGTGTTTCTTTAAAATGCAGCTAGTCATGAAGCTAAAATGCAGCATTATTTTTAGATCTGTGAAGCCATGTAGCAACAAGGCTTGTTTTAGATTGGGATTGTATTTCCTGTTTGTGCTGTGCTTTTCTCCAGGAAGACGTCCTCCTAACTATCACTACTGGGAAGCTGAAGTATTTCTTACTTTTCTAATCAGTGGATCTGAAAGTGAAGAGTACAATTCTTAGTGGGCATCTAGAAATGATCAAGGCAAGTTAGAATCTCATTAGAGAAGACAGCCTTCCCTTGGAACCTCAGAAAACTGGTTCCGGGACCCCATGAATCCCAAAGTCCAGAGGTGCTTGGCGCCTTTATATAAAATAGCAGAATATTTCTGTCTGATCAATACATGTCCTCCTACAGACTTTGAATCATCTCTGGGCTACTTATAATGCCCAATACCATAGGAAAACCGAGTAAATGCTTAAGCTGTGGCCAGACATGGTCACGCGTACTGTAATCCCAGCATCAGGATGAGGCGGCAGTTCAAGGCCAACCTGAGCTAGTAGTAAGCTCAAGACCAGGCTGAGCTACATAGTGAGACCCTATCTCAAAAAACAAAAGAGAAAAAGTTCTGTTGTGTTTAGGAAGTGACAACACAAGAGAATAAATCTGTACAGATGCCCCTGGTATTTCTGATCCCTGCTTGGTTGAACCCACAGATGTAGGATAGGGATACAGAGGGCCATCTGCATGAATGCTGAAAAAAATCCTTTGTGCGTTTTGAAAGCACTAGCATCAAAGAATTGATCTTTAATGTCATCAAAACCAGAATATAACAGAACAATCTACATAAAGTATTATTTGCTGAAATGGAAAGCAGGTTTATTAAGGGTAATGCAATTTCCTAATTATTTTGAAAAGTTGTTTTACAAATTCCAGTCAAAATTGTGGGACTAGGACCTAGGAACTCTGCTTCTCTGGGTTCCCATCCTTGTCGGCAACTGCACTGTCACTAACCTGGCCAGCTCTCAGGCCATTGGAACTGTGACATTGAACACCATCATCGTTCACGTAGGGAGAGGTGGAGTTTGAGTGCAGTGGATGGTGCCACGTGCTTGTAATCCCACCTACCCAGGAGCTGAGGCAGGAGGGTTGCAAGTTAGAGCTGAACCTGGGCAATTAAATGAAGCCCTGTCACAAATTTTATAGATAGGTGAATGATGAGAAAGAAAGAAATGGGAGCCCGGGAGATGGCTCAGTGGAATAAGTGCTTCCCTGGCAAACACAAGGGCCTGAGTTCAATCCTGGGTTCTGCAAAAAAAAAGAGGGGGAGGGGGAGGAGGAGGAGGAGGAGGAGGAGGAGGAGGAGGAAAGAAAAAAGGAAGGAGGGAAGGAAGGAAGAAACGAACAAACCAACATCAAGAAGAAGGAGAAGGAGAAGAAAGAAGAGAAAGAAAAAAGAAGGGAGGGAAGGAAGGAAGGAACAAACAAACAAACCAACATCAATAGGCCTGACGACATAGCTGAGTGGTAGCGTGCTTGCCTCGCGTGCGTGAAGCCCTGGGTTCAGTCTCCAATACTGCGAGGCATGGGGAAGCAGACAGCTGGACCCTACTGGTTTGGATCATTTCAAGTAGAAATACCTCAGTATGAGCAAATGTTATCATGATAAGCTTCGGGAGGAAAATAGGTGTTAGCTTTTTTTCATAACAGCAGGATGCAGCCAGAGTAAAATAAATGTTCCTCCCTAAACGCCACAGTAGCACCATGAATTTCTCATCATTGTTTAAATTGGGAGATTTGAGATTATGGTTCATTCTTATATGTGTTTTTAAAATGTAATATATTTCACTGTTAGCACCCCATTTGTTTATAACTTAAGATGATTTTGGTAAATAGTTCTATTTGTTTAAGATTATAGTAGACAATGGAGTGAATTCGGTTTGCTAACTGCACTTACTGTGTGTGACCTTTTCTTACAAAGTCTGACAAAAGCCAGAGCAGACACCAGTCTTTGCACACTGCGCTTGTGCGCTCGGCTGCACTGCCGCTGTGTCCGCTGACTGTTATGTTGTTGGTCTGTTACAGTTCGCTTGGACTCATGTCACCTTACTGATAACCGTCACCCAGTCACACCTGGTCATCCAAAATCTGTTTGAAGGCATGATATGGTAAGGGGACAACATTGTTCTGTGTCGTAGTCAGGTCTGGATCGCTTGAATCTCTGTAGCAGTGGGCAGTGCACACAGACACGCCTTATGTGCTCTTCCTGCTCCCCTATCCCATTAAAATCACCGTGTTGGCTTCCTGCCTCACACCTGAAGAGCAAATGCTGGAAGCTTTAAAGTTCCGGACAAAGTGCAGAAAGTCCTCACAAAGGCCCCAAACTTACATTTTCAGATAGACCTTGGTGTGACTTTTAGGAAGAGCAGACTTGAGAAGGACTTTGATATCAACATGGAACATGTGAGAAGGGTGGGCCCACCTCGCTTTTCCAGCATTTAGGGAGAAGTCGGGTGGATTCCTCTGCACGCCTTGGAGGAGTGGGTCAGATTGCAGGGCTGGAGGCGAGCCCTGCAGCAGCTTGTGAAGAGGCAGAGAGCCTTTATGTTATGTAAAAATTATAAACTTATTTGGTACAATTAGTTGGAATGAAGAAAAGGCTTACAATTAAAAAAAAAAAAAGAATGATAATACTTCCCCCACATTCATTTTAAGCCCATTAATTAAAATAGCATAAAATTATTGGGTACATTAAGATGAATTTCAGTGTTGGTCTTGTTTTTACTGAGATCCTCACATGTACATGTGTGAATAGACACTTGGATTCATTTAAGTTTGTCTGCCACATAAAAACTTATTGATGAGGAGCAGTTTCTCAGACACGTAGATGATGTTTGGCTCATAGGGTTTAACATAATCACAGACTGGGACAAAAATAAATTAATTTTTCCTAGAAGAGAATTTGCTTTAAGGGTTGGTATAAATTTATCACGTGCTCTGTCTAAACTGGTTGACTCGTTTCCATTTTAAAAGGTTACTTTTCTTAAAAGTAAATTTTATTCTTTGTAACTTGTTCATTATCAAACTAAGATTTAAATGTCCATAGCCATAAAAATTGATTATTTAATATTTTCCTTAGCCACATTATCTTAATATGTTAATTTATTTATAGATTGTGATCTGCTTAAATGCTAAAGGAGCAAATCTGGTATATAGTTATTGCTTCTGCTAATGTTTTTATCATGTGTCATGCTCTGGACTGGGCAGAAGTGTAATCTAAAGGATTATTATATTGGTTTCTCATGAGTCATAAGCTTATATGAATATTTGCTACTTAATAATGCAGACTTTTTTCTGCTGACTTTCTTTTTTTAAAGGTTCCTTGTTCCAATATCAAGTGTTATCTGCAATGACATTACCGCTTACCTTTTTGGATTTTTTTTTGGAAGAACTCCATTAATTAAGGTAATGGAAAATGTTACATGCAAGCTACTCCTATAGCCTTAAAAATTAGCCAACAGCATGATTTTCACCCACTCAGTACTGCTGCACCTTGTCTGCATTCTAAGATACCTTGATTTTTCCAGCTGCACTTAGCAGCCCTGGGATAAGGGCAGAGAGCACATCTTCCACCAGCTCCATCTGGGTCCCATGCTCCCCAGGGGTGTAGGGGATCAGGTCACTTCCCCTCCCACCTTCCTTTTGGCTTCTTACCAGACAGCCCTAAGAGGGAGCTTTTCATTGACTGCTTTCCCTGGGAGCACCATCTCCTCAGCTGTTCTTCCCTTTGCCAAAGTTTCTGAAAAAGTAAATTGTTTCATATTCATGCACTATGGTCCATGTGCAAGGCTTTTATCCCCAAACTTATTTTTTAAAAGATTGGGGGTGGGGCTGTGGAGATAGCTCAGTGCTTTAAGCATTTGCCTTCACAAGCTGAAGGACCTGGGTTCAATCCCCGGTACCACATGCTGTGCTGGCCCCACCCTGGTGTGCCCAGCCAGCCACCGAAACCAGACATTGTGGCACACACCTACAATCCCAGTGCTAGGGAGGCTGAAACAGGAGGATCACTGTGAGTCTGAGCTGCATAGCATCTGAGCTGTGCAGCGAGACCCAGTACCAAAAATGTAAAAATAAAATAAAAAATAAAAAAGCTCTGGGGACCCTTGAATAAATAATATAGCACAAGTAATAAAAGGTTTAAAAGTAGAGAAGAAAAATCACAGATTATTGCCATAGATTTGCTCATGCTTATAGACAATGCAGGCAAAGAAAGAAATGAAGTGTGTTAACCAGACATAGAGGTGCCCACCTGTGCTCCTTACACTGAAGGAAACTGAGGCAGGAGGATTACAAGTTCAAGCTCCACCTGGATAGTTGAGTAAGACTTGTCTCAGAATAGAATAAAAATAACTGAGGGTGTAGCTCAGAATCACAGAGCCCCTGGGTTTGATCCGTAGAATCATCATACACAAAAAATTTATTGCACAGTTATTTTGTGATCACAGTATCTCCCCTGCCAGGTAAGTATGCAGTTATTACTTTGGGTAAGAAAGAAACAAGCCACTTCTTCATGGAAATTAAACCTTTTTCTAGAACTGAGTTTTCTAATATGTGCTTTTATGTTGGAGTTTCAGACAGGATTTGTTCCACATATTGGGCAAAATCTTCAGTTATATTCCCACACAAATAGTACATGGTTACTGTCATGTTATTGTTTGAAGGCAGTTCGGGCAGGGACTGAGCCCAGGAGTCAGGTATACAAGCTTCTGTGTATTCAGAGTGCCGTGGGGCAGCTTAGTGTTTGTGGACAAATGAGTGGACTGCTTGTCCTTTGAAAAGCCTTCCGCAGACTTCCCTGTGAGGGCTGCGATGGAACTCAGTGGTAGAGCGCTTGTCTAGCATGCATCCCTGGGTTACATCCCTAATGTCAGAGAAGGAAAATAAAATGAAACAACTGTCCCTGCCAGGATGTGGCATAGCACCAGGCAGAGCTGGAGGGCCCTTGGCAGCAAGGTGTGTGCCTTTAAGTGATTTTGAAACTGCTGCAGTACAAAAATAAGCTACAGTGTTGAAGAGGTCGGTGCGGGCTGTTCCCGGCTTAGAAAGCCTGTTAGGCTGTAGATGACTCTTGGGGGCTGATGCTGCATGTAACTTCTAGTGACTTGACAGACTGCAGCAGCTGTATCGCACTCCTTGGCAACTGAGCCACTTGCTTCTAAACTAATCTGATGTGGATCAGCTTGATTTGCTAAGTTATCTTTAATCAGTAGACACCTGAATTTGAGACTGCTGCCACATTAGGCAACAGCAGCAGCCCAGGATTAGCCAGATTAGCTAGAAGGTAGTGTGTGCCTCCTTGCGTACAGCACAATTCTTACCAGATTTCTCAAGAACCCATATCCATAACCCATTTTGGTTTTGGGTTTATCAACAATCAAGAGGTCTGTAACAGCTCAAGAAGTTCACCTGTGACCCATTTCTAACCTTAGAAATTTCCCCAGGCATGTAGCTTCTGTTACAGTTTGTTCCAAGGAACTGGTAGTCCTGAAGACTCTCAGTGATCTTTGATTCCAGCCCTTTTCCTCCTCAGTGGCTGAGGCAGTGGGCGCCACCCTCCACTCCTAAATCTTTTCCTCCTGCGCCTGCATTCCGGTTCCAGACTTTCTCTCCTGAAACACCCCATTCACCGGAAAACAATAAATAGCTCAACTCTGAAATGAACAACATTTATCCTCAGAAGCACAACGTAACCCTCCTTTATTTCTGGAGATAGACGTAGACTCCGGGGATGGCAGTATGTAAATACTCGAGGAGCAAATATAGTACTGGGGGCTGTGGAGAAGCTTACCATTTCAGAAAGAGCTCTTTCTGTATTACATGTTAGGCATGTATGACAATTGGGTGTGCTGCACCGTGTCCGTGTATGTCATACTCCTCTTGCGGGGTCAGTAGCAGGTCAGCACAGACTGTGTGTACCTGGAATGAATATGTGTTGTCGGTATTCCAAGATAAGCATGAACGTCTCATTATTTCACTCTACAGTTTAGAGCCCTTGGAGGGGAAAACCCCCACTACCTTGAGACTGCCTATAAGAGGCCAATGAAGCACATCACACGTACCTGGTCCTGTCCTGTGCTAGACACTTGCCCAAGTACATCAGGGTCACAGAATGAAGGGAAAAGATTTTTAAATACTTCCAATAAGAGAAAAGTCAGGAGGGCGTGCAAGGCATTGAGAAACTCCTTGGCCAGAGTTTGCCTGTCTGTTGTGTGCTTTATAAGTGCAGTAACTCTTTTTTTAATTTTATTTGACCTTTTTTAGTTGTCTCCTAAGAAGACTTGGGAAGGATTCATTGGCGGTTTCTTTTCTACGGTCGTGTTTGGCTTCATTGTGAGTTTTATTAGGATTTTTGTTGGTATTTTTCAAGGGAAAGCTTGTCTGCTTTAAACCTTAATAAGCCAGAGAATGCTAATAATATATGTATTGAAACCTATTACACAGAATCACTGCTGCAGCCCAGGGCCAGGCTGCCTCCCACAGTCACCTGGAGAGTGTCAGCAAAATCTGCGTCCCAGCTTTGTCCCCCGACCACTAACTTCCTTGGGGGCCTTGGGGGCCAGCCTGATTCAAGCCCTACTGTTGTGCCCTTGCGCTTTGGTAGTGTCTCATTGCTGTTCTCCCTCGTGGGAGCCATGGGTGCTGGGACTGCAGTGTCTGAGTGATACCAAAGAGTGCAGACGGGGCTGAAAACTTGGTCCTCTCCCTACTTGGTGGCCACATGGCTCAGTGGGCGGTTCCACAGGAACTGAACTTGCAGGGAAAGTCTGTGAATTGTGAAATAATGTTAACTTTTAGTCACAGACAATGAGTATTATTCAGGTTTACAAATTAGTTTGTAACATTAGGAAGTTGCAGTATGGGTACCATAAATTACTAGGAATAAGATAAATTTACAAAGAAAAGTTAAGAAATTTAACTTTTAACTAGTTCCTGACAGTGGTAGTTAATATAAAATAGTATATCTAAACATAGAGTGACCAGTAATAACATGATGTTTTGAGAGACAGAGTAAATATATAAATAAATGGAAATGTGCCACTATCCTAGATTGGAAAACTATTATAATTCCTCCTTTTTCTTTATAAATTCATTTCATTCTCAGTGAAAATTCCAATAGAATTTCATGAAATTACTCTGAAATTTTTGAGGGATAGTGTTGAAAATAACTAATACATGGAATAATTAAAAATTGTGCAATACTATTTTGCACACTAAAAAACAGAAATAATCAAAGCATTAAGTTAAATAATACTAGAGCCAGCTGTGTTGGCATGTATGTGTAATCCCAGCACTTGGGAGGCAGAGGCAGAAAGATCGTTGCAAGTTCAAGACCAGCCTGGGGTACAAAGTGAGCTCAAGGCCAGCCTGAATTGCAGAGTGAGACCCTGCTTCAAAAAGGAAAAAAAAAAGTTAAGTAATACCGTAAGGATTTGGTATTATTAAAGATCAATTTAGAAATATGTAGGAATGTCTACCTCATTGGAAAAAAGATAAACTTGCCCTGTAAGAATGTAGCATATGATAAAATAGAAGAGCAGTTGTATTTTTTTTTAAACAAATGGTTTTGAAGAAATCAGTTTTTGGGAGCATCAGTTTATATCCATTCCTAGAGTCATATTTGAGTTTCTATTAACTACTTGTGAGCGAAATAATGGGGTGAATGGCTGCAGAGGAAGCAAAGAGCAAGCAAACTGTTGTCCACTAATTGAAATTCACTTCAGGATATTTTATTTTATGTATCATTTACATCCTTTGCTGGGACGTGACAGCTGTTCAATGATGAGGCTAAGAAAGGAACAACTGAGTCAGTTTCCTGGGGTGGTGGCCAACCGTGGCGCTTTTCACTTGCATTATTTTGTGTTACCTTGTGAGTAATTTTGAATTACTAGCTACTTACTACTAGATGTTCAAATTAATATCAGTTTGTGTGTAATACATTTAAATCTTTTTCTTCCCTATACGGTATCTTCCTAATTCAATCCTTCGTCTCTGTAGCCTCTAGTAAGATTCCACATACTTTTAAAAATTAAGATCTTACTATCTCACATTTCTAAGTGTTCAAATCAGCTTCTTTCAACCAGCCCTATAGGCGTTTAGAGATCTCTTTCCTTTCAAAACCTTTTATTTTTGTAAAAGTCTTCCAAGTTGCTGTTTATTTGTTTTTTTTTTTAAATGGGGACATCTATTAGGATGACTTTTTAATTTTCCAAGTCCTTGGCAGAACGTTAGTATGAGAAACTCATGAGTCCCACAGCCACCCTCTCTGACACAAGGCCCAGGCGCTGGGGCACTGCTCACTGGCTCCTCTCGGTTGTCCAGGCTGCCTACCTGCTGTCCCAGTACCAGTACTTTGTCTGCCCTGTTGAGTACCGCAGTGATGTCAACTCCTTTGTCACCGAGTGTGAGCCCACCGACCTCTTCCAGCTGCACAGCTACTCTCTGCCCCCGTTCCTGCAGGCCGTGCTGAGATGGGTAAGCGCAAACGCCTGAGTCGCGTGCGAGGTCAGAGGGGCTTTTTTTCCTTCCAGAGTCCAGGCTGCCCGTAAATGTGAAATCACCTTTCTACCGGAAACTGCGTCCTGCTAGGTTTTTTTAACTTGATGTTGTCCCCGTGGTTTTCATGTCTGGTTACCATCAGTAAAATGTTCTCCCCTATGACCGCTGTTTTCTAAGCAAGAAATTAGTTTAGAAATTGCAAATTACTTGTATAGAAAGACTATACTTAAATACCAATGGGAATTTATTTTGCATATGTTTTAAGAATTTTTTTAATTATAAATTTTTACAAATACAATGAATTAGAGTGAATTTTACAAGTTATAGCTATGAATTAGCTGAATTTAAAACTTAGTCAAAATTCACCAATTGGAAGCTTCTGCTTGTAGAAATAAACTTTTCTCCCAGAAGCACAGTCTTGCCAGTCAGAGCAGTTGGAGGTCCTCGTGTGGGCACCAGCGAGCTCCCCAGCAGTGTGTGCTCCTCTGTGTCCTCAGGACTGGGCTGAGGCCCCCTACAAAGGGGAACCAACAGTGCACATATGCATGGGTGTGCATTTTAGCACACTGTTTTAAACCCACACTGGTGGTTTGTTTGAAACAAGTTAACCAACAAGTTACCTCTTTCCCTAAGTCCGTGCTTTCTGTTACCTGCCATGGCGTCTTCAGTGGCACCAGCCTTTGACTCAGGGTCAGCCTCCGGACCTGCAATGTGCACCCTTCTCTCTTGGACCTCAGTTTGTGTTATTTAAAGGGGGTGAGAGATAGTCAGACTGCAGAATTCTGTTTTTACCCTCTTTTCCTCTTTTGTAATTGTCTTGCTGTTATTTTGATTGTTTTTTATATTTTTATGTTTCTACAGCATTCAACATAGTCATAAGGGAAAAAAAGCCCAATGTTTTCCTTTTACCATATAAAATTAAATCAAGGGAAGTAAAGTACAAAGTTAAAATAATTTTATTACTGGTACTACTCATTTAAAAAGTGCCTATAGAAATTAGCTCAGTAGATTCTCAGCACTCCAGGCCCAACAGTGGGCTGTCCAGTTCCCAGGTCAGCTGGAACTTGCTCTGCCCGCGGCAGGACTCGGGATTCCTGAGGTACCTTGCCAAGGGGCTGGGGGGACTGGGGCAACAGTTGACAGGACACAGGTCTTACAGTGAATCTTCTTCCTGACCCTTAAAGCTTGCAAAATTAACAGCAACCAAAAAGAATGTGCTGTGTGCTTTGACTCACCTTCGTGTCATGCTATCGCATTAAGTGCCGCACTCAGGGCAGCTTTACTGTAGTGAATCCTAATGTGCCCCCTCCCTTTCTTTTCCTCTCCAGGAGACAGTGAGTTTGTATCCTTTTCAGATACACAGCATCGCTCTTTCAACCTTCGCTTCTTTGATTGGTCCATTCGGAGGCTTCTTTGCCAGTGGATTCAAAAGAGCTTTCAAAATCAAGGTATGTGTTTGGATTATCTGCTCCATTATACAGGAACACGATTAGAGAATGCGTCCTAGTTGGAGTTTGGTCCACAATTGGTGGAAATTTAATCCTTAGATAAAAATTTATACCTGCAGTTCATTTTAGCTATAGAAAAATACTGCCTGGTGGATTTGTGTGTGTGCTTTTCTGTTAGCTTTTAGACATGCCATATGAACATATCCATCTTAAAGTGTCCCGCCAGCCCCTCAAGGAAATGGCCTGCTTCTTAAATGTTAGCAAAAACAGAAGAACCTGTTCATTCAAGTGCTCATCAGGGTTCCAGCCACGAATGGTCCAAGACAGTGCTTGGCCAGTCTCACATGAAGGGTACCCATAAGAGCCTTTGGGTGAATAGCTGTCCATTCTGCTAGACTGGGGGTCACCAGACTTCCTAGGAAGAGGGAATGCTAAGCTGTGTTCAGCAAGGCACACCATTGCTTCTCTCACACCTCCCTCAACTCTGAACTCTGCTGTTGCAGTGCGGCCCCCACCCAACAGGCCACATGTCAATGAATGTGCACAGCTGGGTCTTACTAAAAGCTTTACTTAAAAAGCAGGCTGCAGGTAGAGTTTGGTCTGTGGTTACTACTTTGCACACCCTGCTCTAGATCCTTCACACTATCTGTATGTTTGGGTTAGGTTAGCTCATCATCGGGTGCCATCACCTGGTTGCCTTTACCTAAGGGAGGGTCTGATGTGTGCCCAGAGGGGCTAGTGAGCCGGGGGAGGTGGGCAAGTCAGGGGCGGTCTCTCCAAGGAGGTGGCATTGGAGCCAAAGTCTGCAGCAAGGGCAGAAGAGCAGAGGGGCACAAGCTAGGGTGGCCAGGAAGGACACCTGTGAGTCCTTGGTGGGAAGGTGGGTGCCCCTTGAGAACACAGTGCTTGGAGAAATGAGTCAGACATAGAAGGTGAAGTATCGTGGTTTCTGTTATATGAGAAAACCGAAGTGTAAGTTGTTTAAAGAGCAGAATAAAGGATAGGGGATAGGATGTGAGGGGCAGATGCTGGGGAGATGGCAGGGATCTGAGGCTGGGGGGCGGCCAGGGAGGGAAAGCTAGCAGGATCAGGACACCTATGTATCTGTACACCTTCCCGATAGGAATGCAGTTACTCTGTTTAGCAGCATATGCTAATAAAAACACACAAATGAATAAACTTCACCTAACATAATAAAACTACCCAACCAAGCACAAAACACTGAGTCTTGTGGTGATGTCAGAGTTCAGGGAAGGCAGTTGGGTTGGGGCATGGAAGCATCCAGGGCCAGGTTCACCACCGCCCAATTGGCCCCAGCATCCTGGGTAAGCTGCTGTTGTGCTTTGCTTTGCACCTGAATACTTAAGAAATGTGTGTCATAGAGATGAACCATTTGTTTCAGGGGACGACTGTTAGGAAAAGCATGACTTACATACCTGTCAGCAAAACTAACATAGCTCCCAATTCAGTCCTGGTTGAACAGCATGGCTGTACCAATATTCTACGAAATAATAGCTAAGAGAATGGTTACTTAGAAAATTTCCATTAATGAAGAAATTAATTTAAATTTTTAATTACTGACACTTTGATGCTATGGGTCAGTTCCTAAATCATGCTGAAATGAGCTCAGGCTTAAAAGATATGGCTTTCATCTGTTGAATGTGTTCTAATAAATTTGTATTTAGTGGAAAAACATAATAGTATTTTCCTTACATACCTCTTGATGCTGAAAAGACACAGAAATGTCTGTTAAGATAAGGGCCAGGACTATAACTCGGTGGCACAGCACTTGCCTAGCAAGTGCAAGGTCCTAAGTTTGATTCCTGGTTAAATTAATTAATTAATTAATTAATTAAATGAGTTTTTTACTGGTGATACTCTTGCAAATTCACGAATGCATTGGCTTGTTTCTGAAGGACTTTGCAAACACCATCCCAGGGCATGGAGGGATCATGGACAGATTCGACTGTCAGTACCTGATGGCGACCTTTGTGCACGTATACATCACAAGTTTCATAAGGTACCTGTGCATTCCGAAACTTCATTGCATGACTGCTTAGAGTTCTCATTTAAACTGGTATTTGTTTGAATAAGTTAAACTTTAAGTCACTGTGAATCTACTGCATCAAAGAGGCTGTTGGCCCCTGGGACTCTAGCTTTGAGTAGTGTGATACAGTTACATTGCAATAGTTTTACATACCTTTAAGCAATTTACCCTAAAACAAAAATGCATTGTGTGCATGGTACTTAACAAGGCCAAGCTACAGAGGCAGTGAATGTACCTAAGGCTGGATTTGAAGCATGAGAAGGTAAATTTCTTATCTGTGGGCATTATGGGGATGGTAAAAACTAAGGAATTAAAAGGTAGAAAACCATTCAGTCTACCAGTTGTTGCTTGAGTGCCTATTATATGTTTAGTCCTAAGTCTACACACAGATTTAGCAGAGAACAAAATCAGTTCTTTGCCCTCATGGTTTGAGTTGAGAGACTGGAGAGAGGATAACCAGAAATGAACAATAAATAAACACAGCTTGTTAGATGCTTATAAGTGCCAAGGACAAAAATAAGTGGGCCTGGCGATTCTTTCTGCCTGGGCAGGGTGGGTGGTGGCTATCACTCTTTCACAAACGTGGTTTATTCTTTTTTTTTTTTTTTTTTCTGTATTTTAGGGAAGGATCTATAGGGTGTCAGGGTCTCACTACTAGATCAGACTCATAGTGATCCTCCTGTTTACAGCCTCCCAAGAGCTGGGATTACAGGCGCGCACCACTACAGCCAGTCTCAATCGCACCTCAGTGTGCCCCAGGGAGAGGGGCTGGCATGACAGGCCCAGGGATCAAACCCCCAGTCGCTGTGCCTGCTTGCAGGTGCTTGAATCAGCTGAGCTATTTGGCTGGCCTTATTCTTGATAGGAAATCTTCACATTTTGGATCTGCCCCTAAAAATGAAGTTTGGTGTACAGGCTAAGCTCACATTGTCCATGAGCCCAGAGGCAGGCCACTTCTTCATAGTTCCTGAGCTATGGACAGCATGGATTGCCTTAGTAGAGTTATTTACATTGGAACTTATATTTAGAGATCCCTAAGTATATATGTTAAATATACACTAGAAGTGGAAGAATTTTTGTGTTACCCTTTTTTTGGGTGGGGACAGGGAGCAGGGAGTGGGGAGAGAGAGACTGTCATCTTATTAGAGATTTATCAGTTTCATTATTTTCAAATAATCAACTTCTAGTTTTGTTTTCTCTATGGTGTATCGTTGGTTTCCACTCTCATTTTTTATTTTTGTATTTTCTTGTAGGTTTAATTTGCTGTTCTTTTTCTTGAATCTGTTGTTTCTTTTCTTGAGATGAAACCTAGATTATTGATATTCAGCCTTCTTGTCTAAGACTGTAAGCTTTCGCATCGGTACCATTTTCTTCATCCTACAAGTAATGATTGTATTTTCCTGGTTCAATTGTAGATATTTTATTTCTAATATTAAGACCTTGTTTGACACATGGGTTATTTAGAAGTGTACCAATTGATTTTCAAGCAAAATAAGACTTTCCGATTCTTTTTCCCTCACTGATATTTGCCAGGATCCCACAGTGGTCAGAAAACACATCCTTCATGGTTTCACAGTTTATTTTGAGCCTGGATTCCTGGCTCAGCGTATGATCCATACTGGTCCACATTCCAGCTGCACATGGAACTGACATAGGAGAGATGTTGCTCTCAACTGGGTGGAGGTCAGCTGTGTCACTTTTGTGTCCCCTGAAATAAAAAAGTAATGCATAAGAGTAGAAAAGATTTATTGAGAGATCACTGCGAAGAGATAAATGGGGTCCTGGAAGAGGGTTGCTACCAAGGCCCTTTGCCGGGGTCATTTATACAGCAAGGTCGCGTTGTGAGTGTAACATGGGTCAAACCATCTCCAGGCTATAGGATTACAAGCAGAGCCACTTAGCTAATACTGTCCCAGTAAGGAAGTGGGTCACACAGCATGGGTGCATGGAAAGAACAAAGGCATTGGGGGAGGGGTGGGTGCAGATGCTCTGGTTACCCAGCCTGGGCAACTGATGCCTCTCTGGGCTTCCTGGTCCAGGCGGTGCTAATTATAGTATAATTCTGAGTTACTGTTGATCCCTTGGGGAGGCGTGGAAGCCTGGATGCTGCGTCTTTCTCTTGAGGCCTGGTCTTCACACGCCCCTCCAGCCTTCATTTTTGCTGTGCTCTTCTCTTCTGCAGACTCAAGGGCCTGTCCCTGTCTGTCTATTTTTATCTAACTTGGCTGTCTATAATAAATTGAATGTGCATTTTGCAGTTTTCAGATGTAACACTGTAATTATCAGTTGGATAAAATTTAACTCTTCAGCATGGATGCATTTTTTATTTTCTAATCTGCTTATTGTGTTGGTTACTAAGACAGCTTTGTTAAAATCTCTTTTCTTCCCCATTCTTTGTCACTTTTATTCAGAAAATCTCTTGACTAGTTATACATTTATTCCCCTTTCTAATTCTATCAATTTTTGCATCATATATTTGGGGTTAAATTGGGTGCCTGTGAACATGGTCATATCTCTGTTGAACTGGTCCTCTTTATGTTCTAATGTCCACCATCTTTACTACTTCCCTTCAATTCTCCTTTTTTTAGATGTTAGAAAAGCTGTAGCAGCTTTCTTATGATTAGTGTTTGATGGCATTTCTCTCTTGTTTTACTTTTAGCATTCCATTGTCTTCATTTTTAATGAAGACAGAAACTGTTTAGTAAACATTTAGCTGGAATTTTCAGTTTATAACCAAGTCAACAAGCTTTGTCTTTTAAATTGTAGGATTTAACCGATTTGTCTAACAGATATTTATTTGGTGACCTGCATTATTTAGATATTAGCGATAAGTGGATGAATCCTTAGGACTTTTATTTTCAGAAAATGCAGCTTTTGTGGCATTAGTTTGCCCTCTTCCTTTTAAGGAACATCTGCCGAGAAGCCATGCAGGGCCTCACTGTCACCATCCAGAAGCAGATATCCCCCTGGCAGCCATGTGGGCTGGGGCCGGGCTGCAGCTGCCCTGCCCAAGCGGAGTGCCTGCTGGCATGACTTTGTGTTGGACTGAACGTGCTTCAGGCATTTTCCTTCCTCTGTGGGCCCGGCTCTGGGTCTGTGCTGTGACTGTTGCCCAGTGTTGTGAAGAAATGTAGGGCGGGTGGGCCCTGGCTGAGGGCGCTTGGGCAAAGAGAAGCTCCTGGCCACTGTGGGTTTGTAGGTGACTGGAGCCAGGGGAGTGACCTGTGCTGGCTGATTGGATCTCTTGTGTAGTTTTCAGGGTTTGTTTTGTTTTGTTTTGTTTTGTTGTACTGGGAATCAAACTCAGGGCCTTGCGCTTGCCAGGCAGGTGCTTGTGTCGCTGAGTTATATCCCTTGTAGTTTTTATAAATCAGAGATGCCTAGATTAAATCTTTTCTTACCCTTACTATGAGAATACCATGCAGCAGACCTTTCTTTGTTGCCAGGATTTATCCCTCCTGTCACTGTTTAAACAGTTTTGGTTATAAATCACACATGCATTTTCCCACCTATGCATAAGTCAGAATTCCTGTTTGTCTCCCATGTATGGCTTAGGTCTTGCTTATTGCATTTTTTTTCTCCATAAAACATAAGCCTCACTCTGTTTTTCCTACTTGAGTAGACTTGGAAAATGCAGAGCAGCGCATGCACAGGAAGCCTAAAGGGCTCACTCTCCACCTTGATGACCCAGTGCTGCTGAATTGCAGTGCTGAGATGTCTCAGTGTGACAGTAGAGTGAGGGCTGGGGTCAAGCGCTGGAAAGCACAGTCCCTGATGGCGGTAGTGCTGCTTGTGGGATGGGCGTGAAGTTGGCGTCATGTCCTGTACATGCAGAACCTGGAGGAGGGGCCAGGAGGGCACCACAAGAGGCACTCCTGGCGCACTGCAAGTAGAGTGGCCAGGCCACCAGGCCAGGGGCATGCCAATGCCCGGCCCTTCCTTGGCCTCCACCTGGGCCTCTGGGCCCCTGCTATGGAGATGTGGCAGGCAGCACCCTCTTGTCCCCATCCTGTGGACACACTGGAATCTTGTTTGCTGAATTGGGTCATATGAGATATTCTTGGAGCAGGTTCTGGTGCCTGCTTGTGTCCTGGGCAGGGCCGCTGGTGCTAGGTGCAGGGTGTCTGCGTTCAGTCGCCTACACATACGCAGCTCCCTGTGTGTTTGACAGAGTGCCCTTTAACATCTGGAAATTTGTCTGAAGGTCAGAATTTAATTGCTATTTCTATACCTGTTTGGGGGCTTTCTCTGTGTCTGGCAGGATCTTTCCTTCCAGAATGGGCTGTGTCCTTCCAGTCTCAGGGCCCCGCTCAGCCCACCCTCCAGAGACTCTTCGTAAGAGCTGCATCCACTCCTTCGTGGCCTGCGTGCTCCTCATGCTCCGCGTTTGGGCCTTCTTTCTGCATCTAAGCTGTGTGTTTCTCAAAGCAGATGAGTTCTGGATTTCTTGCCCCTGACAGCAATGGACAGTAAACTGAGCTCTTAACAAAAGCTGCCTCAGTTCTGGGAGCTGCTGCTCCACACTTGAAGGCGAAGATTGGGCTGCACTTGAGGTGGGTGCTCCCTTCACCCTGGGAAGCAGCGCTCACTCACTCTGTCTCTCCACTTCCGCAGGGGCCCGAATCCCAGCAAGGTCCTGCAGCAGCTGCTGGTGTTGCAGCCAGAGCAGCAGCTGAACATCTACAGAACCCTGAAGATGCACCTCCTGGAGAAGGGCCTCCTGCAGCCTGCCTTGAAGGCATGACCAGCTGGGGAGGACACTGGAGATGCCACACGACAAGATCCTGTTGCTCTACAGAAAAAGGGTTGAAAATGCAATAGATTGAAGTTTTACAGACATAAATGTTTCTCCTCTGAAATTACTGTGAATATTTAACAAACACTTGATCTGAGTCCTGAAATAAGTAGCAAATTGCCAGCAAAATATCCTGTCCTTTTTCTAGGATGTGTTTCCTGACATAACTTCCTTCACCTGACTTGCTGGGTTTCATAATTTGAAAGACTTGTATTTAAAGAGTCAAACACTATAAAATGAGTAACTTGGGGGTGTCTTCAGATCGTACCTGGCAGTGGGATCTTTTGCACAAATATTTACTTTTGCCCTTGGAGCTGCTGTTTAATTTTAGCAGAATGTTTTATGCAAGGCACAATAGGAAGTCGGTTCTCCTTTGCTTCCTCCTCTTCTAGTCAGAGGAATGTTCTGAAGAACTGAGTAGGGTGGGGAAGGAAGCTTGCTCTGCTGACACTGCCACCCTTTTTTTTCTCTTCCCCTCCCTCCTCCTGCTCCCTCACCCTTTTCTTCCTCTTGTCTGTCTGTCTGTCTCTCTCTCTCTCTCCCTCTCTCTCCTCCCTACTCCTTCCTTGCCTGCCTCCCTCCCTTTCTCTCCCCTCCTCCTCCACTTCCTCTCTCTCTCTCTCCCCCCACCCTCTCCCTTCTTGCCTCCCTCCCTCCCTCTCTCTCCCCTCCTGTCTCTCCCCTTCATTTTGGGTGTTGGGTATTTGTCCCAGTAGCCTGGATAAAGTAAATGAGACCCTTGCCTGCCTCCCTCCCTTTCTCTCCCCTCCCCCTCCACTTCCTCTGTCTCTCTCTCCCCCCACCCTCTCCCTTCTTGCCTCCCTCCCTCCCTCTCTCCCCCTCCTCTCTCTCCTTTCCCCCTATCCTTCCTCTGTCTCTGTCTCTCTCTTTCTTTATCCTGCAAAGGATGAAACCTAGAGCTTTGCATGTATGGGGCTCATGGTCTACTGTCGCACCACTCAGGCAGCTGTCCACTTTTTGGACAAGTAGTCATTATCCACAAGCAAACATTCTACTTCTAGCTAGGTTCAAAATTCAGGAAAGGGAGGCTGCGACTTCTGCCATTACTAATGTCTTAGATGAGCAAGCTTTAAACTCTGTGTCTGATAAAATTGTTTGGGAAATGACCTCAGGAAACCTTTCCAAGGAATCTCAACAAAAGTGATTCCTGCTGGGGGAGCAGGTGTGCTGGTGCTGCTGCCACGAGTTCCCTGAGGACCAGGATGGGGCTGTGGCTGGGCCCTGGGGGTCGAACCCACTGCTCCTTGTCCCCGTGCACACTGCCTTCACTGAGCTCTGAGGCCCAGCACCCGCTGACTGAGCACCAGAGGCAGGTCAGTGCAGGGCAGGGAGTGGGCGGGGCTGGCACAGGACCAGAGTGATGGTAGCACGGGCAGGCTTGTGGGCTGGCTCCAGTGGGGGCTTTGTGCGGATGCAGTCACCCATCACAGACACAGACTTGGAGCAACTTCCTCGGACTGAGCTCAGGCCTGCTGTGCTTTCCCCTCCAAGACCAAGCAGACGGGCTTCCCTCCAAGAACAAAGAGCACACAAATGCCAACCCTTCACTTTGGGGAACTGGACGCTAGCAGACGAGAGTAATTTCTTTCTTTTTTAATATATATATATATATATTTTATTGGTACAGTGTATGTGACATACAGTGATTTACATGCGCCTCAGGAACCCGTACCTGGACACGCCGCATCTTGATCATGACCCTTCCCGCCAGCCGCCCGCCCTTCCCCACTCAGCTGCCATACAGAAGCTCCAGAGCTCTGTGCTGTCTGCGTGCACGTATCCTGCATCAGGCAGTCACCAGGAAACCTTCACAAATTGCCAGGTGTCTCGGCTAAGCATTCCAAGGGGAAAGACAGCTCTATTTTAAAGAGTGTTTTGCTAATGAAGAGAGTAAATATTTTTGTTTAAATCAGAAACAAATGATGATTGTTTTGTATTTCCATGCTGCTATCCCTGAAATAAAAAAAAAATTGCAGACCTGCAGAGTTCTACAGACAGACCGTAGCTTCAGTCTCACTTTGAGTCCCTTGGGTCACAGGAGATGCAGTCACATTGGGATGCGTCTCATTTTTGTTCTGGCCTGGCAGGCACTTAGTTGAGTGGCTACTGCCGCATATGCAGAGCCAGTGCATTTCACACTGCCCCTCAAAAGCTTAGAATTACCCCCAAGAGTGTTGCAGGAGGGGACGATCATGCCGGAGTTCAGGCCACTGGTGAGTTTTCAACATCCTTGGTTTTTTTTGCCCCCACCGAAAGCTCCAAATCCTAAGAGAACTTCAGGACACCAAACTTTTAAAATATGGACCATGAAAATGTTGTGCTAGGAGGTTCCAGTGAAAACTTGGCAGCTTGCACAGGTTAAAAAGTCCTTGTAGATGCATAGATCCCACCACATTTTCCTTTGAAGTAATTGGCGAGGCTTTGCAAGACAGAATTATGAGGGCATTGCTAAATACATGTATTATAAAATCAATACTATTATAAGGAAAGTATAAAGCTAGAAATATTTGGGGTCACAGTGAGAACTTTTTCTCAAATATGCTTTTAGAGTTCGGTGTACATTATATGTAAAAATAAATTCTTACTTTTAACAAAGCCCTAATGATGAACCTTTTTAGCATACTTTTATAGCATGTATATTAAAATAGAATATATTTTAGCAAAAGATTGCCATAAAGCCCTGACTTGATCACTTTTATATTTGCACTGGGATGAGGGCTGAGATTCCAATGTAGCAGTGTTGTAGCGGAAAAGAGAAGCTAGAGACGTCGTCACGGTAGCAGCTCCCGGCCCCGGACCTGCCTTTCAGGGAGGAACTGCCACGGGAGCTCCACTCAGCTGGCAGGGTTGTGGAAATCGTGTGTTTCCTCAGCTGTCCCTCCTTGCAGCACATGCTGGCACTGGGGATGGCGAGACCATGCCGCCCACTTTGATTTTCATGTAGAGCATCTCTTCATTTGCACTTTGGCTTGAACTAAGACAGTGTCACCTTGTTCCATGGAGAAGGAGCAGTGAAACTGTATTGTATGGGGGTAAATGTTCATGGTGTATGTCAGTCAGTCCCCCAAAACTTTTTACCAACATTGAGATAGGAAAATAAAGCCAAACATCATATTTTGACTTCGTTGTGCCATTTTCTCATTGGGGGACGCACCATTCATTAAGGAATGACAGATGCTCATCTGTGTGTGTTTGCCTCTATAGGGGCATCTTTGGGGCAGAGACGCATGGGTTTGGGGATACTTGAACATCTTTGTTGGTTAAGGGGTAGTATGCTGAGCTTCTGGGGCAGCACCAGGGTCCACAGTGTCCATGCTGTGTTTTTATTTTGAGGCTTTCAATTGCTCCTGGTCCCTCCTTGAACTCTGGGCTGTTGGAAGCCAGGTGGGATCGTCTCGCATGGCCTCTGTGTCCCTTGTCTGGAGGCAGCACATGTCCTGCAGGCACCTGGGCTTCTGAGCAAATGGGTTTGGAGTCTTAGGACTCCACTGGAGCCCTGGCCAAGCCCCAGACTTTCTGCATAGCTCTCGGGTGGGCTTCACGAGTGCCTTAGGTTAAAAATCAGAGAACAGTGAGGCTGCTGGCTTCGCACCTGGGATTAGAAGCTGGCCAGTAGCCCCTACTTTCCCACTTCTGTCCCATCATCTCCTGTCCTGCTTTTGTAGAACCGGGGATTGAACTCAGATCCTTGAGCTTGCCAGGGAAGTGCTTATTCCACTGAGCCATCTCCCCGGCCCCTCCTGTCCTGCTTTTGGTGGCATTGACTCAAGAGTTCCCTGAACTGTTGATGACCCCAGCTGTGTGCTTTGTCCAACCCAGACTGTCTGCAATATAGCCAGCACCAAGCTTTGCTCAGGAAGGATGAAAGCCTCAGGGTCCCTGCTCTGTACCAGGATGGGTGGGAGAGAGGAGTGTGCGGGCCAGGCAGCAGCGGAAATTGAGGAAGCCCTGCCTGCCTCCTCTCAGGGCCTGTCTGCACAGCTAGGGCTACCCACGGCCTTGTGAAATGCTTTCAGCCCATGCACTAGTGAGGGGCTACATTTCAGAAGCTGTGTTGTAGCTGCAGATTGGGCCTGGAGGATGTGACCCCACAAGCCACCTGGCTACCCAAAGCCCATTGTCTGCACAGAAGCAACCCTCTGGAAGCATCAAGTCATTCTGAGAGGGCTGGGCAAAGTGAGTTCCAGCAGGAGCTGAGAAGATCCGATCCAGACCCCTCCCTTCAGCTGTGAAGGGCTGAAGGGCCAGGGCCTGGCTGCTCAGGAGCTTGGTCTTTTACACTTCAGATGGGGCCAGGAACAGTGGTGCATCCCAGATGCTTGTGAGCAGCCAGCACCCGGAGTTTCAGCTCATCCTGGTGAGATGGACACATAGAATGGTCGGAACTTCTATCCGTTTCTTGTCTCCAGCAGCTGTACTGAGATATAATGTAGCTACCCTAGCACCATCACCAAATCCAGCGTAAGGACAGTTCTGCATTCTACAGAAGCTGCCTGGGCACCCATTGCAGTTTGCACGAGCACTTAACCTAAGATAACCGCCCATCTGCATCCTGTCTGCAGAAATTCACTTTTTTCTGAATACCACACACAGCAGGATTCTATGTCATGCCAGGCTTTACATCTGGCATCATGTGTTGCATACATCACTACATTATACGAAAACTGTATTTTGTTAACCTATTTATCATGGAAATTTGGGTTCTTTCTAGTTTGGGGCTCTAATGCACAAGAGTGCTATGAAAATTTGTCATAAGTAGGTGTGGTGACGCATGCTGGTAATCCCAGCACTTGTGAGGAGGATCACTGTGAGCTCAAGGGCAGCTTGAGCTACATATCAAGACCCTGTTTCAAAAACTTTAAATGAATAAATAAATAAAGAGAAAAGAAAACTTTGTTAACAGACATATCTGTGGATACATTTTCATTTCTGTTGGGTAGATTGCTGTGCGTGGAATTATTGGGTTGTGTAGTAAATTCCTATTTTTAACAACATAATTAAATTGCCTGCCTGCCAGCTGACTACCTGGCTGGCTTGCCTGCCTGCTTGCTTGCTTGCTTCCTTCCTTCCTTCCTTCCTTCCTTCCTTCCTTCCTTCCTTCCTTTCTTCTTTCTTTCTTTCTTTCTTTCTTTCTTTCTTTCTTTCTTTCT